ATTTCTTCAAAAAGTTCTTATATGAGCCATTGCCAGTAGAGTCCCATCTGGACCACTGTATGCACGACCACTTCAATGCTGAGATTGTCACCAAGACCATAGAGAACAAGCAGGACGCTGTGGACTACCTGACCTGGACCTTTCTGTACCGCCGCATGACCCAGAACCCCAATTACTACAATCTGCAGGGTCAGTGGACTCGGGTGCACAGTGTCCTTTTGTGGTTCTCCTAGCCCTTGCTGGCCATCTCCTAGTGACTCCTTGCTTTTCTCACCATCGCAGGCATCTCCCATCGTCACCTGTCTGACCACTTGTCTGAGCTCGTGGAGCAGACCCTGAGTGACTTGGAGCAGTCCAAGTGCATTAGCATTGAGGACGAGATGGATGTGGCACCCCTGAACCTGGGCATGATCGCTGCTTACTATTACATCAACTACACCACCATTGGTGAGGGGCCGGCAGGGAATGCTGTCTAGGGAGCCCAAGCTAAAGAAGTCTCTTGCAGGGGCCTGCAGCCCACTGGGATGAGCGAGCCCAGGCCTTCCAGTGCCCTGTGTGTGGGTCAGAGGGATGGATCGTAGGGTAGTGCAGGGGTAGGGTAGCCTAGGCAGTTAACTCTCCTCCCTCCTTCTTTTCTGACTCCTCCCCTTCCTCCTCCTCTTTGACTGTCAGAGCTCTTCAGCATGTCCCTGAATGCCAAGACCAAGGTGCGAGGGCTTATTGAGATCATCTCCAATGCGGCGGAGTATGAGAACATTCCCATCCGGCACCATGAAGATAACCTCCTGCGGCAGGTGAGGACATCTTGGGCTCAGGACAACCTCTTTGGAGTTGAAAGTTGGCCTCTGTGCCCAGAGCACATGGTGTCCTTGTCACCACAGGAAGACCCCAGCACATCACCCACACATCTCTGTTTTGAAGGGTTGTGAACGTAGGGCAGGTGGTCCTTTGGGCCCCAGAGCTGTTTTCAGGCAGGGCCACATGTTCGTCACCAGCTGTTTTTCTTTCCCCTCCAGTTGGCTCAGAAGGTCCCCCACAAGCTGAATAACCCGAAGTTCAATGACCCGCACGTCAAGACCAACCTGCTTCTGCAGGCTCACCTGTCCCGCATGCAGCTGAGCGCTGAGCTGCAGTCGGATACGGAGGAAATCCTCAGCAAGGTAGGTATGGGTGCCCGTATGGGGGTGGAGTGGAGGGGCCAGGGGTGGCCTATGAAGTAGCAGTTCCAAGCCTGCCTTCTCTTGCACTCCTACCCCTGTTCAGGCAATCCGGCTCATCCAGGCCTGTGTGGATGTCCTTTCCAGCAACGGGTGGCTTAGCCCTGCCCTGGCAGCGATGGAGCTGGCCCAGATGGTCACCCAAGCCATGTGGTCCAAGGACTCCTACCTGAAACAGTTGCCACACTTCACCTCAGAGCATATTAAACGGTGCACAGATAAGGTGAGCTGGGCCTGGACCTGGACGGTTGAGTGGCTGAGCCAAGTGTCCTGGGAGGTGGGGGCAGTTGAAGGGGCTGTTGGAGGTGAGTCACGGTAGGGGGTAGTTGGAGTTTCTCTGAGTGTCTCTGAGGGCGTTGCATACTGAGATACTAGAGAGCCTGATGGTTGCACAGTTGCAGGCTGTGTTCTTTCTGAAGCCATGTCTTTAGATGATCTGATAGCAGAGGAAGTAAAACTAGCAGCTGTTTGGAGCCAGGTTTCATTTGCTGTTAGTATGAGTTCTCCTTCCCTGACCTCCGAATCCCCCCTGCAGGGAGTGGAGAGCGTTTTTGACATCATGGAGATGGAAGATGAAGAACGAAACGCGCTGCTTCAGCTGTCTGACAGCCAGATCGCAGACGTGGCCCGCTTCTGCAACCGCTACCCGAACATCGAGCTTTCTTACGAGGTGGTGGATAAGGACGGCATCCGCAGGTGAGCCCGGGCCGGCCAGGTGCCCTGCCCCGGGGTCCCTGCTGGGCCCGGCGTGACGGCGCACTCCGGCCCCCCTGCCACGGTGCTGACGCGCTGCCCTGCTCTTCTCCCCCACAGTGGCGGGCCGGTGGTGGTGCTGGTGCAGCTGGAGCGTGAGGAGGAAGTCACGGGCCCCGTGATCGCGCCTCTCTTTCCGCAGGTGGGTCCGGTAGCAGGACAGCAATAAAAACCAGATAGGAAGCTTCCTGAAATTTCCTCCTGAAAGACAGTCTGATATAACTAAGATTTTGAAACAGTCAAAGGTTATCTCAAATGAACTCCCATTTTTAAGTAGCAGTATGAGGTTTCTTCTGGAGGCCTCATCCGTTGGCTAGTGTTCAGAGTTCAAGGGTACATTGTCACTGGGGGAGGGAAATTTAGGGTAATGACGAGACACAAGGCCAAGAATTAATATTGGAGCCATGGGTGGTTTTGTTGTTGTTGTTTTTGCTTGAAGACAATTCCGGTGACTGGTCATTGTGACAATACAGTATTGTCAATCTCTAGGATTGTTAAGATGAATTTTCTTTAAATGGCTCCAGGTTAGTTGGGCTTTTCTAGTTGGTATTTCTCTTCCTTTCTCACTGCCATTTAACTCTTTGTCCGGTTACTTGGTTCTTTACCACCAGAAAGAAAATCTGATCCCTTATGTTAGAGAATAATTGAAGACTGAAAGCAGAAACCAGATACACTGTAATGTTTCATTTTACAAACTAGTGGTTTAATAGGCTCTGGGGAAAGAGTGCTTTAAACTGGAATACTTGGACTTTCTGACAGGGGTGGTCTGCTTTGGATCCTGTCCACTGGCAGGCTCATGTCCAGTTCAGCATGTGTTGCTTATCTGGCATAGGTGCTTTTTATTTAAAAGGGTTTCTGAGGAACTCAGCTGCCAGGCCCCAAAGACTAGATCTCTAATAGTGGAATCTTGGCTTCATGGGCATGCACTGAATGTCAGGAGAAGGTATTTTGGAATAAATAAGGAAATGAGCCAGAACCAACAATGAGTTCATTACTTAAAAACGTTCATTTGAGATACCTTTTGATAGTTTCAAAATCTTAGTTATACCAAATTGTCTTTTAGGAGGAAGTTGTATTTTATTTCTTTTTTTTTTTTTTTTTAAGATTTTATGTATTTATTTGACAGAGAGAGAGACACAGCGAGAGAGGGAACACAAGCAGGGGGAGTGGGAGAGGGAGAAGCAGGCTTCCCACGGAGCAGGGAGCCCAATGCGGGGCTCGATCCCAGGACCCTGGGATCATGACCTGAGCCTAAGGCAGACGCTTAATGACTAAGCCACCTGGGCACCCCTTTATTTCGTTTTCTAAAAGATGTATTTTTTAAAAAGATTTTATTTATTTTGAGAGAGCGTGAACATGAGCGATGGGGAAGCGCAAAGGGAGAGGGAGAAGCAAACTTCCCCGCTGAGCAGGGTGTCCAGTGCGGGACTTGATCCCAGGACCCCAGGATCATGACCCGAGCTGAAGGCAGACACTTAACCGACTCAGCCACCCAGGTGCCCTTATTTATGTATTTTAGAGAGAACACGTATGCTGGCAGGGGAGGGGCAGAGGGAGAGAGAATCTCAGGTAGACTCCCTGCTGAGTGAGGAGCCCAACGGACATGAGTCTCGATCCCAGGACCCTGAGATCATGACCTGAGCTGCAATTAAGAGTTGGCCACTTAACTGACTGAGCAGCCCAGGCACCTCCAGGAGGAAATTTTAGAAAGCTTTCTATCTGGTTTTTGTTTCCTACTTTTATAACCATTATCATGGTCTCATGGCCATCACTTTCTACATGCTGAAATTCTTGGCTTTTGGTCACTGCAGAAACGTGAAGAGGGCTGGTGGGTGGTGATCGGCGATGCCAAGTCCAATAGCCTCATCTCCATCAAGAGGCTGACCCTGCAGCAGAAGGCCAAGGTGAGTGAACACTGGCCCCAGGACTTGTTCTGAGATGGGGTCAGGGTGAGAATTCTTCCTCTTATGTCCGTGCTCACCCTGACTTCTGCCTGCTTTCTCTAGGTGAAGCTTGACTTTGTGGCCCCAGCCACTGGTGCCCACAATTACACCCTGTATTTCATGAGTGATGCTTACATGGGATGTGACCAGGAATACAAATTCAGTGTGGACGTGAAGGAAGCAGAGACAGACAGTGACTCAGACTGAGTCCAGAGGCACTTACTCTTACAAACAGGAGAGAAGAATTGCACCTGAATCAGGAACATGTACAGTTACATGGGGACCAGGTCTGTTGGTGTGAGATCTGGCCAGTCAGTGCAGGTGCTGTCCTAGCCCCCTTCTGCTACTAGGCCCTCTTACTGCCTTGCTGTCTAGACTTTGGATCCAGTGTCTGCAGGTGTCCTGTAAGCTGTCAAGCATAAACTATGTACAGCATTTTTAGGCATGTTCTGTGTAGTTCCTTTTGTCAAACAGTCTCATAAAATAACTTGGAAAAACCATTTGTCTTTGTAGTGTTTCCAAATTAGTTTCTTTTCTCTACCTAAGGCCCTTGGCCAAAAACATTTGGTTTTTTAGCCACTAAACTTGCTTATAATGAATACTTACAATGAATACTTCTAGAGAACAAGGCTGCTCTTTAGTTGGGCTGTCACCTGCAGCCTTTCCAGTCAGTGTAGAGGAGGGAACAAGGTTAGATAGCTGTCAAATAGGAGCGCCTGGGTGGCTCAGTTGTTAAGCGTCTGCCTTCGGCTCAGGTCATGATCCCAGATCCTGGGATCGAGCCCCACATCGGGCTCCCTGCTTGGCGGGGAGCCTGCTTCTCCCTCTCCCACTCCCCCCTGCTTGTGTTCCCTCTCTCGGGGTGTCTCTGTCAAATAAATAAATAAAATCTTTAAAAAACAAAAAAAGATAGCTGTCAGATTTATGCCCTTGTCTCCACCTCTCTTGTTACCCAGATATCAGCACTGTTAAACTAACACTGAGCTCGAGTCTCTCAGGATCTGCAGTGTCCCCTCCCATAAGGAGGCAGTACCGGAAAGGGGATTAAAATGCATGAGGTGGGTGTGGCCCAGTCTTGGTAAACCAGTTCTTGGCTCAGTGGCAGCAGTATTGTAGCCCGTGAGGTTTATCCAAGGAGCGATTATTGCTGATTGAAAACTCTTCCCAATTCTGTGATCTAGATTTACAAAATTTCCTCTTCAAATTCTTGCCTTTTGTTATTTAGGAATAAATGGGCATAAAATTGGGAGATGATTTTCAAGCATTTCTCTAGGTCAGCAGTTTTCAAGTAATGGGATCTTAGGACCCCTTTTACACGACAAAAAATTAAGAACCCCAAATATATTTTATCATCTTGGTTATATCTATTGATGTTTACTATCCTAAGGAGTAAAAACAATGCATTTAAAAATTTTTTTTAAAGATTTTATTTAGGGACGCCTGGGTGGCTCAGTCAGTTAAGCGTCTACCTTCGGCTCAGGTCATGATCCTAGGGTCCTGGGATCGAGTCCCGCGTCGGGCTCCCTGCTTGGCGGGGAGCCTGCTTCTTCCTCTGCCTCTCTGTCTCTCATGAATAAATAAAGTCTTTAAAAATAAATAAATAAAAAAAGATTTTATTTAGTTGAGAGAGCACAAGCAGGGGGAGCAGAAGAGGGAGAAGCAGGCTTCCCCACAGGCAGGAAGCCCAACTCGGGGCTCGATCCCAGGACCCTGGGACCATGACCTGAGCCGAAGGCAGATGCCCAACCAACTGAGCTACCCAGGTGCCCCCAGAAAAGGGTTTTTAAAGCCTTTTCGGGTGATTAGCTATTTGATATTACACTGAGACTCCACAAGTGATAGTTTTTTTAAAGGCAATGCGGAATCTGAAACCCCATCAAATAAGCTTCAGTTAAAACTGCTGGTCTGGTGCCTGGGTGGTGCAGTCACTTAGGCATCTGACTTGGTTTCAGCTCAGGTCGTGATCAGGGTCATGAGATAGAGCTCCACATTGGGCTCTGCTTGAGATTCTCTCCCTCTGTCCCTTCCACTCATGCTCTCTAAAATCTTAAAAAACCCACTGGTCTTACACTTTTTACAACTTTATTTGAAAAAGAGAGCACAAGCAGGGGGAGTGGCAGGCAGAGGGAGAAGCAGGCTCACGGCTGAACAGGGAGCCCGATGTGGGGCTCGATCCCAGAACCCTGGGATCATGACCCGAGCAGAAGGCAGATGTTTAACCTACTGAGTCACCCAGGTATCTTCCCCCCCCCTTTAAAGATTTTTATTTGGTCTTACCCTTTTAATAAATTTCTTAACCGTGAATGAAAGATTTTATATCATGCATCAGTCATTTGGAAAATGTTGGTTCACTGATTTAGGCCTATCTTCCAAATCTGTTGATACCACCAATCTCATCAGAAAAGTCTAAGCAAAGGGAAGATGTCAAGCTCATGGTGGCAATAAAAGTTTTCGAAAATTCTAATTTTTGCTTGAGAGCTTTATTTTTTCATTGGCAACACTACGAGTTTCCCTTGAAGTGAAAGGCTCACTCCATCCATCTCCCAGAAAACGTCTGCCAGATAAGCTGAGTCTAAGTAACGTTAATTTGCTAGTGTTTTCAAGACGGGGCCACGACAGTTCAACTTGCATGACGGCTTCTCGTCCAGTCTTGGTTGCGCGGGGGGCGGAAGGGCTTTCTCCTGCTTCCCACTGTCTGCGTGTTAGCTCTTCTCAGAGGTCAGGATTTAACAGCTTGTAATTGGTTCTATCCAGGACATTTCTAAGCGAGGTGAGGGCAAGGCAGTGGAGACTGACCAGTAGTATGGGGTGCCACTGCTTTGACTCCTGCCACAGCTGACCACGCAGGTCCCCCAAGAGGCTCTTGGGACCACACTCTGAGAGCCACTGCGCTAGGCACCGCCTCAGCTGTCTTTTCAAAATCTAAGGTGGTGATTTGTGTGGTATAAAAAATCAGGTGAAGGCTGTAGCTTTGGGGATGGTCCAAGTCAAAACCCATTTGGAAGCGACTTCCAGAAGACAATTTGAATGAGATCAAAGTGATAGCTTAAGGAGTGATTCTCTACCTTTTTTCATTATCATGCCCCTAGTGAGCCGTATTAGATGTCTTTTTGCTATCTGCCCATACTATGAAAATTTAATACTGGCGGTTCATTAGAGAGCCACAAATTACGGTCTCAAGATTTTTTTGCCCCTACCCAAGAACTGATTTTCAGCCCCACTGAGAATGTATGGCCTATAGCCAGTAATAACTCCCTCTTAGGCTTCACACCCTTCCCCATTTATTTTTCAGCATTTCCAGTTGCCACCACAGCATGACGGCACAGAAGATACACAAGTTTCTAAGTTTCATAGTGTTTCACTGTGCAGAAGCATGTCTTACTTTAAGCCAGTCTACATTAAAAAATTTCCTTCAATACTGATTGAATGTCTTAAATGTAAGAATTTACCCAGAGATCAGGAAGGCAGGACCTACTTCTAAAAAGGACTCACCATGGAATTCTTTTAAGTTGTGAATGTCCTTATGAAATAGGACTTGGGACTCAGATGACCTATTTCTAGAAAGCTTCCTATTTCTGAAAAGCCTAAGATGTACCCCTTCTACACAGAGATATATGGTGACTATAAGTACTATATTCACCCCTCAAAATTGAACACTGTGCCCGCAGGCAAGCAAAATCTGTGGCATAACCACAACGCACTGATGTTCTGTAGCTCTTTACCAAGGGCCCCATGTCAGAGGAGGGGAAGAGTGAGTGGTTCTGTGGCTCCGCACTTCTACCCAAGTCTGAATGGAAGAGAGCCAAGTTAGACGAAGGTAAGGATGCTCCTTCCAGGTTCCCTTGGGGCTGGGAAAGTCTTAGGACGTTTTCTGGGAAACCATGATTCTGTCCAAAGTCAAGGTGGCTCAGATGCCTTCTGGTCGCTGATACTTCCAGAAGGCCACCTCCCCGTCATCACTGCAGGAGGCCAGAAGCCCCTGCTCCTTAGGGTTCCAGGCCACACAGTTGACATCCTGGGAATGGGCCTGAGGCAAGTGGGCTGTCAGAGAGAAGGTGGGCTGCTGTGGATCTGAGCTGGGATCCTCCTCAAACACACGGATGGCATCATCCCCACAAGCTGTAGCCAGGGCCCCTGTCAGCTGACACCTGGGAGGAACATGTGCATCAGTGAGTATGCAGGCGGCTCCTCCCTCCCCAACCTGGCAAATTAGGCAAAAGAGATCAGTTCTACAGTCCTTGGGCAGCTCTTCCCAAACTGCAGGCCTCAGCTCAAAGTCTATCATTGACAAGCTTCCCTAACACACAGCCACAAACATCACCCCCTAATTCTTCAAGGGCTGCCATCTAGGTTAGGTTTCCCCAGGCAACCCAAAAACCCCCAAGATTCTGAACTGCACTTTTCTCACTTAGCATAAGCAGCTTCCCTTATTGCAAGTCATTCTCAACTATTTCTTTAAACAGTAATAGGCCGCTGAATTTTACCATACTTCCCCTAAGGCCACTTTTGTCATTCCCAAACGTTTGCTAATATAAGTAAAGCTTAGATGCACATCAACTATTTTCGTTGTTTAGGATTATTTCCTACGGACAGGTTCCTAGGACTGCCCTCTGATCACTCTCCTATATGAATGGTATGGCTTTTCCAGACTCCATAAGGGTAGAGTCAATATTACCAAACCATAAAAACTGCACCCATGAATCCAATTTCAATATTTCTGGATGTATGAGGCTGTGTGACACCCCCCCCCCCCCTTCCCCAACACAAGGCTGGTGCTGCCCTCACAGCCTGTGATCTTAAAGTAGGTACAGGCCTGGGTCTGTAAGTCTGTTTCCTGCTCCTGTGAACCTCAGGCCAGCTGGCCATAGGCCAGCACGGTAGACAGTCTGCCTGATCGGAAGAAATGAGGGTGGCTTCCTCTCTATGTCCATGTACTCCCAAAGGTGGTAGAGAGAATCACGGGGTTTTGTCTTCTCTAAAATCTCTCCAAATGGGTGGGTGTGGGGATGGAGGTCTTACCAAGCAACGTCGTAAATGGTCCTGGAGTGGAAGCCTGACAAAGTGCAGATACATTTCCAGCTGGGGTCAGAGCCGCTGCATGCCACCCCTGCACAACAGACTTCTCTTGAGCCTCAGACATGTCTGTGTCCTGGGCACCTCAGGGGAGGAGCTCCTCAACTGCCCTCCCTCACCCCCACCTTCAATCATGAGGCCTCATTTTGTTCCTCTGTCCCCATCCACAGTGATCTGCCTTACATACTGTGGCTACACAGGGATTTTTACAACAGAATTGAGAAGGAAAGGTCCTGTTCTTTAAAAACTTTTTGCTGCAGACTATGTCTGACTAGTTAGCTTGCCTTTTAAGGCCACCAACCAACCCAACCAGCCACCCGACCCACCTTATTACTCCCCAAATCCTTTACACCCTATGCGCCATCTAAAGGAATCATGGTTCCTGGCGTAAATCTAGGCTTTTGCACCTTCAGTGCCTTTGCTCATGCTGTTCTCTTTTCACCCAGAAGTCTCTTCTGTTAAATTCTTCTTGTGTTAAAACCCTACACACACTTTCAAGTTCGGATGAAATGGCTCTTCTTCCACACAGCCTTCCCTGATTCTCCAGCACTCGCTGGGGAGCCCTCTCATGGCACATCTCCCTTTCTACTCCAATCTGCTGTGATTCATCTATGTGTCTTAGGCCCTTAGTAGACTGCAAACCTCATGAGAGGAGTCTCCTTTAGCTGATTGGCCCCTCACCTTGCTCGTTGTCCGGTGGATACTGTCGCCAGATACGCACAGTACGGTCATCACTGCAAGATGCCAAGCGCTGGCCACTGGGGTCAAAGGCTAAGCTCCACACAGTGGATTCATGGCCTTCGAGGGTGGCACAGCACACCCAGTCATCCTCCTCCTCCCGGTAGAGCTTCACTGTGTCATCATAGCTTGCAGAGGCTAACAGCTGGGGGGGAGGGGGGCGAAACACAGCCCTTGTCTGTATGGCTCAGGATGTGCCAATAGTTCCAATACCTCTCCCAGCTAGGACAGTCCCAGCGATCTGTCTCTATAAAGGGATTAATAATGTCTTTTGGTGGGCGCCTGGGTGGCTCAGTTGGTTAAGCAACTGCCTTCGGCTCAGGTCATGATCCTGGAGTCCCAGGATTGAGTCCCGCATCGGGCTCCCTGCTCAGCAGGGGGTCTGCTTCTCCCTCAGACCCTCCCCCGTCTCAT